ATCGGTTTAGCCCCGTTTCGTACGAGGAAAACACGGAATCGTTACTGGTAGTCAGCTGGGTGCTGCTGCGACTCTCATCGACAGCCACTGGTCTGAGGAAGCAATCTGTGCATGATAACGGCTTATTGAGGTACTCTGAAATTCAAAAAAATGCTATCAGTTTGAGTTTGAGTGCGAGACGGATGAATTCATTAATGAAACCGAATTACTCGCACAGTGGCACGTCCACGCAAAGGAACCTGAAGATCAGCAGCTAAGATCTTCAATTAAAAACAGGCAAGACTTTATTGATTTGAAATCAGTCATAAGAACACACTCTTTTAAGACCTCTGTACGTAAAGAGTTGCGCTACTGTTCTGCGGCAATAATATGTGTGTTTGATCATCAACTTGAGCCATTTGCACAACAGAACGCTCCTGGTTTGTGATGATCGATGTGTTCGCTGTTTTATGACACTTTTGTTATAAGTAGAAGGTTACAACATAGCAGAAGGAAATATTCCCCATACTTTGGAAACATCCAAATAATTCAATGGTTCGATAAACCAATCGGTACCTCCATCTCTGGAAGACTTTCTCATGTAACAACGGCCCAACAGAAAAGATGAAAATCCATCTTGGGCGATAACAGAATAATCTATTCTGTCCCTGCTGCCACGATTGTTGAAAGAGCAATGCGGAGACGCTGAAGAACTGTATCGTTGGCAGAAACGATTCAGTCTTGCTTTTGAACATTTGTTCCAGATAGAATGAACATTTGATGAAATAACCTGTTGGAAGAGGAAACTGCGGCAATCAGACTGTTCAAGGGACGACTGTCGTGCTGCTCGTTGCCCATGTCTACCTCGGTACCCAGTGACACGTAAAATGGTAGCAGCGAGGTTCTTGAAACTTTTAAACTCAATCATTGCAGACTTCAGAGGCAGAGTGAGAGCAATAAAATGGTCCTTTAAATAAGTGCATTCGTTGATCTGATCACCGGGGGACGAAAATATTGTAGGCGACATTTCTCAGAGAATTTGCAGGCTTTGACATCAACAGAGAACGAGAACAAACAGCTGGAAGTGAAAGAAAGAGCTTTTCAGAGAATATTGCAAATGATGCCTTGATCTGGACTGTAGGAAAGTAGTATCCAAACTTCAACGTGGGGATCAGGACTGACGAAAGACAGCAGAGCGAATGAAAATCAACCTCTTGTTACCAGTCGAACAAATCCGATGCACAGTTCAGTCACAATGCCATCAGCCTAGGGGTACTGTATTTCTTTTGAAGGCATTGCCAAGGCAACCACTGCGTCGTAACAACAGCAGCAGTGCTTCCGTTTTGTGCTGTTTGTCACACCGGAAGTCGACTGTTATACGCGTCAAGCCAAATTGCAACCCAGAGAGAGGCTTGCATCAGACCGCAGAGTCGTACTTATCGCCCATTCTGGTCTGATTACACCAGAGCACTATTCTATTCCTATCGTTTGCTTACTGTAGAAACTGTTTACTAAAC